TGGGCTGGAGAGTGTTCTCTTGAGTGGGTTGCTCGTTCGAGCTGCATGCTGATCGGAGTTCGTGATGGAGTATTGAGGTCAATAATCCGATGTTGGATGGTTGGGCGTCCATGTCCTTCAGCAAGAGACGGAGATGAGTTTGCCCTGGGATGTTGTAAGTTTGCAGGTCGGGAAGAGTCAAGCTGCTCTTGTATGACGTTCTGAGCCGTTGTGAGAGAGTCCAGACGGGCGTTTGTTTGACGGACCATGTCGTCTTGTTGGTCAAAGYGTCTCATGAGGGTTCCCAGGACGCGAACAAGATCAATCTGTTCRTTCGCATTTGTTGTTGCTTCGGGGCCACGGGCTGTGGCATTCGTTTCTTCATTTGTTGCRGTCCGAGYGATGACCGGGCTGGASTCCATTGTGATGAGTGGAGCTTCGYGAGCTGCTTCTAAGATTCCCTGGTTTGATGTTTCTCCGGATTGTTGACTCGCGGATACGTTCGGACTCATATTTCTTTGCGTTAGACAATCTCCAGCCCCCTACCTGGCGCGCCAATTGTTGATCCAAGCAGGTCGACAATGAATTTATAGTAGATCGGAGGTCGGAGAATCTCGTGTATAGAAAGTCGAGTCAAAGAGATGTRTTTATAGATAGGTCGCTAAAAATAGCCMGGACAGATCCCRTGCTATTAGTTCGCTAGCTCGGAAATCGTGGTAGATCGGACAAACCGGAACTACTAGACGTTGAGTATAAAGATTACAATTTAGTGAGTTCGCGAGTGGTGGCGCTTGTATTTCTTGAGAGGAGAGTGAATGCCCCCGTTGTACCGTCCCGTAACTCCTATTTATAGTGAAGGACGGTGAGTTTAGCTTGGGTTCAACTGACCATGGTTGATCTGATATACCCCTGTTTTAACCAGGTTCAGTTTGGACGCATCTTGGGTGTGGTTAGATCGCGGTTAACGGTTGGAGTGGGCCTCCGGAAGCCCGCTGGGCTTTTCCCGAACTTGCTGGGCCTCCGCTTCATTGGCGATTTGCGATCTGCGATCTGCTCGGAATGTTGGGCCGTAGGTCTGGGCCCAACAGTATTGGCACTCGCATTATTTCTCCATGATGCTGATACATAGTTCCTGCCCTGACAATCTATAAGACTTTTACATTCATGCTCAGGTTCACCGCAAGCATTTCGAAGGCATCGATGAACTCTCTAAGAG